GAGGACTCCTTTTAGTATTTCTTGTAATTTTGGTTTGGTTTTTGCAAATTCCCTAAGAGTACAGACAAAAGAAATGGAAACTTACTTTCAATATCACAGACTCTATTGCTGTATTGTTCTGTTTTATTTGACTCCAGGTCTTAACAGTATCAGCACAAAAATCTTCCACTGCTGAGCACAGGAATCTGGAAGATAAGATAGGTGGTATAATGTAACATGGACCATGAGTTCCAGAGCCCTTCATCTCTTATAATGTCATCAGTCCATCTTCTGCCTCCCCTTCCTTCTCTCTGTCTTTCCTGATCTGTCTCTCTGTTTTTTCTGCTTCTTCATGTACATATAGTGAAATATGCTCCATCTCTTCTTCAGTCCAGTTTCACATAACTTCTTACATAAAGCATCTAAGAGTGTTTAACTAGCATTTATTACTCCTAATTCCAAATTTCCAGGGAGTCTCTGGGTGACCCAAATAGTTAAGTGCTCGACTACTAGGCTAAAAGTTGGCGGTTCTAAACCTAACCAGAGGTGACTCTGAAGACAAGTCTAGTGATCTGTTTCTGAGAGATAACAGCTTTGAAACCCTGTGGAGCAGTTCTACTCTGCACACATGTGGTCATCATGAGTCAGAATCGACTTGATGGCAACTAACAACAACAACATCAACAACTTGGGTCAGGTTTTCATCCTGGGTCAAATCAGCCTGTGGTTCAAGGGCCCAGCTAATTTAGCACAGGCATAATGACATTGGAAGAACTACCCCTCCCAGGGCCATTCTCAAAGGAGAGTGTGGTGAACTGAGCAGGAACCCCACAAAGAGTGTCAGGAGAAAGGAATGACCCATATATTTAGAAGGGTAGGATGTGTTGCTCATTCTATGATAAAGTAAGTGTGGGTAGTTACTACAGAGACCTTTCCTGGTGGCAAAAATGGAAGGCAAGGTATCCCTACTGTAGGGAGCTCTGCTCTGCTCTAGAATGGTCTGGAATGTTGTGTTTTCATTTTGTAATCTTTCTTCCAAATCTCTGGCTTGGAATTTTATCTTTTTGGAGTAGCAGGTGTCCCCATCTCAATCTCATCTTTCTTATCTAAACTTTTCATTTAGTAGACTTGAGTTGGAAGAAATTCAATTTGGAAAGGTAAGAATATACTTCTTGGTCTCAACACCCTAAGCCATCAAAATGCACACCGTCTCTGACCTGGGAATAGCTTGTGAGGAACAAAAACACCCCAAGGATGAGAGACAAAGGAAGACTGACCTGGTTGCGATGATCATCTCTGTGGGGCACTTTGCCTTCAGGATTTTGTTCAGCTCAGTAGTTGCAGATTCTAAGTGTTGGATGGCCACAACCTAGGGAGAAAAGGAGTGGTCAGCCTTGGAACCTTAGCACTGTGACACAGTATACTACCATCCTCATCCCCCATGGCTTCATTATTTCCTACTGGCTTAACTCAACTGTTTCTCTGGAAATAATTACCATCAAAAAGTTCTTGTTGAGAAACTATTTTGTTCTGTAAACCTTCATCTTAAGTGAGAATAACAGCACAATTGGAAGAGCGTAGTCAATGTCACTGAACTGTGTATGTAGAAATTTTTGAAACTGTGTATCTTTGGCTATGTGTATTTTCACCAAAAAAAAAGGTTGAGAATTTAGAAGGTTAATATGTTGTGGGGTTGTTAACCAATGTCGTAAAACACCATGTGTGCTACTGTTTCATGAGAAACTATTTGTTCTGTAAGCCTTCACCTGAAGTATAATAAAATATAAAATATTAGTAATAATAACAGCATCTACTTACATAGTACTCACTATATACCAGGATTTTATATGTATATATATGCAGTCATGTAATCCTCACAACAACCCTGTGAGGTAAGGATTGTTATTACCATCCATTTTCAGAGGAAGAAACTGAGGCACAGGGAAGTGGTAGCTGATAAGTGGCACAACCAGGATTTGATTCCAGGCAGTCTGGCTTTTGAGTCTGTACTCCTAACTACAACTTCTACTCTTCCCTCTCTATCACTCCCTACATTCAATGGTCTACCAACTCCTGATGATTTTATCTCTGCAATATGTCTCAAACATGTCTACTTCTCCTTATCTTCATTACCCCAGTCAAATCACCATCATATCCTCCCTAGACTATGACAATATCTATTACACCTGTTTTCCTTGCCTGAAGTCTTTATTCCTTCAATCACTTCTCTACACACCACACAAATTCTCTGCTTAAAACTCTTCTACTAGACAGCAGAATGGATAGGTGGACAGATATGTGATAAAGCAAGTATAGTGAAATGTTAATGGTAGAACCTGCAATTTCAACTTTCCTGTATAAAAGGTCACTATGAGTCAGAATCGACGCAACGGCAACAGATTTGGTTTGTTTGTTTGGTTGGTTTTTTTTTTTTGGTATGTTTTTAAATCTTCATTATTAAATAACATAAGTAAAGAAAATCCCTCTATAATTCTCATTGCTCTTAGGGTAAAAGCCCAAACTTCTTACCAGCAGGTCCTTCCTGGCCTGGTCCTTGATTACCTCTCTAGCCTCATCTTTAGTCACTCTCCATACATGCCCCTCCCTGATCCCGATGCCCCAGCCATTATGAACATATTTCAGTTCTGTGAATATTCCATGCTCCCTTGCCTTCAAAACTACACATGCTGTTCCATCTGTCTGGAACAAGCCTCCTGTTTCTTATTCTCCTGTTTAACTCTCTCTAGTCCTCAGCTCTTCTGAAATGGCACTTCTTCTGAGAAGCTTTCTCTGATTCCTCCCATACTGGGTTAGGTACACTTGCTGTGTATTCCCAACCCCCTCTACTTCCTTATATCCTCAAACTCATACTACTTTATTAAAGCTGTTTATTTTTCTATTGCTCCCACTAGAATATGAGCTCTATGACAGCAGGGACTATGTCATTCTTCTTTACCCATTAGGACATAAGAACAGCTCCTAGAAGAGTATCTCACACCTACTAGTTACTCCACAAATACTTTTGAGCGAATGAATAAATTAATGGCTGAATGAATTATATCCCCAATGCCTAACACAGTTCTTGGTAAATAGCTGCTGAATGACATGTCCCTAGTCCTCAATGATTGCATCCTCATGCCGTCCATGGATGATATAAAAACTTCTCTCTCGACCTTGCTTATTATTTCATTATGTAATAAAGAGGTCCGCCTGAATCACAGCTGGGAAGTAGTTACCTCAAATTGGGGTACATCCATTGCGACCTGTCCTCTTGGCAGTGGGATTTGCCTGGGATTCTCACGGATCATCACACTCCATCTGAAATGAAGTTCAAGGACAGGTATTTAGGAATCTGTTTCATCACAAGCTGAAATCAATGGTTCACAGGTCAATAAAACAACAACCAAAAAAAAAAAAAAAAAAACCCAAACCCATTGCCATGGACTCGATTCCACCTCATAGTGACTCTATAAGACAGAGTAGAACTGCGCCATAGGATTTCCAAAGAGTGGCTGGTGGATTCAAACTGCTGACCATTTGGTTAGCAGCTGAGGTCAATAAAGAGGCCAAAAATGTTTGTGTGGCGGGAGAGGTGGGTTTCAGGGGGTGCCTATGCAATCTCTGGCCACCTGATCTCAAGGTATACTGTAAGAGGGGCCTTTGCCTCATGCCTTCTATAGGCCAATGTGATGGAAGAAATGATAACAACATTCTTAGACAACAGTGGTTTTTCAACCAGAGGTAGCCATCAAGATCACCTGAAGTGTTTTTGTAAAATACACATACCAGGGCCCTACCCAAGACCCACTGAATACGAATCTTTGTGGTTGAGCCCAGCTTGGTATCTTGAAAAAGTTCCCTAGTAGATCCTGATGAGAAACCATAAATCAAATATTAATACATGCCCCAGCATAGAAAATCTTCTCCGGAGGTAGGATGGCCACACTTTCTCTTCTCTAGAGCAGAGATAATCTAGGCCAATTGTTCATGAACCCCCTTTTTTGAGTTCTTTGGGAACCTGATGAAACTATGAATTCTTCCCCAGGAAAATATATGCTTGCATAGATAATTGGCAGTATAATTGAAGGAGACTCACAGAGCTCTTGAAATCTATCCATGGAGCCCCTGCTCTAGAACCTTTTATGTTTGAAGAGGGGCTTTAGTGCTATTTAAGGCTATATGGTAGCCTCTGGCTTTGCAAAAGACAAGCACCTCGAAACTGCACTGCACTAAAATCAGAAAGGAAATGAAACTTTGTAAGAGAAGTTAGAATATTCCCGAGTGAGATGAAGTAACTGGGGGTAGCTGGTGTGAGACTGAAAGAGGCACAAAGGCCATGTCTTTTGGCTACTCACCTGTCTAGAATCCTCACACTAGCTTGCTCCACCCTGTTGAGGATGTTCAGGGGTGACTTGTTTTTATTCCAGAATGCACCCCAGCCCAGGACACGGGCCAAATCATTGCCGGTTCCAAGCGGGATGACTGCAAGCTGACACTGCAAGAACAAAACCAAGCACCATTTTCACGCAGTCCTTCTACCAAACTACACACATAAAAGAGCCAAGACAGTGTTCTTTGAGAAGGATTGTGGTCTCAAAGCCAGTGGTGATAAGGGACTTGTGATTCCAGGAAGTACAATGGTAGGACTTTCGAGTGAAATTTTCCCTAAGGAATAGGGACCCATTCTTAGCAATACAGAACTATTCATTAAAGGGAAAAGTCACTGGCATATGCCAGTATTTTATAGCCATGCTTACAGAAGGGAAATATAGCCATGAGTTTATATCTAGGATAGGCCAAGGAGGTGTGGTGCCTCAGGAGACAATGCTACTGGAGTCAGAAGAGCAGGGGCTGCCTAGGGAGAGTGGGAGAGGTAGAGGAAAGTTTCTGCTATTCTTTTTTCTTTTATTGTTTATTGTGCTTTACGTTTCTGCTATTCTTGATACTCAGGGAAGAAAATCAGTGGCCTCAGGATGGGAAGGAACTTGGGGGTTTAATGCTGCTTGAAGCCACTTCTTTTTTGCTTGCTGGCTTCCCCTTCAACACTTCACTTTGGAGCCTGGGAAATAGAGCACTGCTGAGTCCTTCTGCTAACTCCCTCATTTCTCCTTCCCACAGATAGACAACCAGAAAATGGTCTAGGTGAGCAGCCTTAGATCGTAAATCTACCAGTCAGGTTGACTACAAAAACTAGAGGAGGCATGCATTGTACAGACTAGGAAAGTAAAGACCAAGTTCTTCTTGGGATGAGCAACCTCACACCCTCAGTCTCTCTAGCAATGGCAAAACTAAGTCAGCCAGAAACTCACCTTTTCATGTAATCCAAAGACATCAATCAGAGATAAGACCCAGCTCACACTGCCATCTCCACCACAAATCACAATGCGAAAGCGAGCAAAGTTCTTGAACATACACAGCCTGGTAAGAAGAGGGGAAAGGGGGATCATTTCATGAGCTGCTGGGTTTCATAACTCTTTCTTACAATGTGTCAGGATACTAGCACTGCTGCTTTGGCACCCTGCTAATAGGCTACCTGCATTCTTTCCCTTAGCCTCTATCTCTTTGTGTACCTAAGACCACAATGTTGTCACAGGCAATCCCAGAAATCAGACCTTGCCTCAACCCACACTATGCTACACCCAACCTTGCTCTGGAAGCTGCTAGTAATCCATCCAAACCCAACTTGCTGAGAGGCAGTGGGCTCACAGGAACCAGGGCTGAGCAGTCAGAAGTTCCCAAAATGAAACAGGCCTTTAGAAGAGATATATCTATTTGGCCCCAGGAAAAAGAAAGAGTGAGTGGCAGAAAAGGTGGGCAAGAGGTAGGCAATATTCATTTGCCTCTTCCTCTGAGGTCAGGAGATAGGGTTTTATCTCTTCCAACCAGAAGGAGTGAAGCAAATCTGAGAGCAGGATGTGAGCTTGAAGGGATTCCTGGGAAAAGGCTAAAAGTCCTCCAACCAGCCAACCCAAAATGCTCTGAAGTTATGTGTCTGTATCCTGACTTGAGAAAATAGCTCTTTCCTGCCCAGATAGAAGGACTGATTCCAGGAAGCTTATCCTAATTTAGAATGCATAGAGGAAGGAGTCCCTTCTATATGCCCAACTATATCTGCTACCCCACACTTACCCTGCTTCAGGTCCACCCTTTGTCAGGTCAAACACTTGAGATGGGTTAAGGTATTGCTTGAATTTTCTGAGTAAAATGATTCCTTGATGATCTCCACTTTTGGAGTTGATGAAGATGAGTAGGGGACATGAACAGGCGGCTGACCAATCGAGGCTCCAGAAGTCTGAAGAAACCACTAATTGGCCTAATACACACACACACACACACACACACACACACACACACACACACACACACACACACGAAGAGAAGAAAAAACAGGACCATTGAGATAGAAATGAGAAGTGACTTAGCATCAAATTTTGCAAGGAATTTTTGTGTACCTGTCCCAGTTTTCTGAGACTGAGGTTGAGGTGCAAAGGGAAACCCAGGATACAATCTAAAGGGGTATAAAATTCTCTTCCCAGCTGTTGCCAGATAAACTGTATTTTCCAAGCAACTACTATATGCCAAGCATCATGCTAGGGGCATAGGCCTTGCCCTCAAGCTGGGAAGACAGACCTATACACAAGAGTATGTTGGAACACAAGGAATAAGATAATTGGTGCCACAACCAAGGATAAATAAAATGCTATAGGGAAACTGAAGAGTCCAAGAGGAGGATCGGTACACCAAATAGTCCTCTCTCTGCCTCGGATAGCTCAATTCTGACAATAAGATATCAGGTCAGGAGAGAGTGGGAGGAAAGGCTTCCATTTAGCCAGGAGCTAATGACAGAGCATAACAATGTGAGGTGGAGCAGGGAGCTTTAATCATTTCTCTAAGGCTCTGGCAGAGCAATCTGTGTTATCACACTAACTCTCAAGGGAAAAAAAGACTATAAGGAAATTATCTGGACAAGGGAGAGGCTTTTAATAATCCCCAAAACTGAAGTTCCCTTGGTGTTACAAAACACCAAACTCAAGTCGATTCCAACTCATAGCGACCCTATAGGACAGAGTAGAACTTCCCCATAGGGTTTCCAAGGAGTGGCTGGTGGATTCAGACTGCTGATCTTTTGGTTAGCAGCTGAACGCGTAACCACTGCGCCATGTGTTATAGCTGTCTGAATACTCAAAGCAAGCCAGCTCAGGCTGAAGCTTAGAGTCTGCTGGAAGAGAGACAGTGAGCAATGTCCCTGAGCCTCCAAGCCTCTGAGCTCATGACTTGCTAGGGCTGCCCCAAGTAAAAATAAATACATGGGTCAAAAGGTAAGTGGCTCACTCTTGAGTGGGGGAGGAAGGTAGGTTGAGATGTCCCATTTGTTGTAACCTCAGTGAAAGGGAACCTGAAGGAAGGCTGCTGACTTGGGCAGATTTCATGGTTGTTCTGCCTGGAAAAAATCTAAGGCAGGCTTCCTCTGTGGTACAATTCCCACTCGCTGGCCAGTAGAGCTTGAAGGGATCCTTAGCCAGGTAGCCAGCTTGCTCCAAATTTTCAGGGTTTGCTAGGACTCACAATTACACGGTGGGCCTGTTATGTCCCCTCAGTAGCATAGCTAGGAAGTAGTTACTCCCTCTGAACACTTCATCCAAAAGTAGTACTGTTTTCAACATTTTTTAAAAATAAAAGGCAATATCTTGACACAGTAGCAGTTGAGTCATTCATTCATTCATTCAATGAATATGTACTGAGGGCGTTCTCTGTGCCTGTCCTTGTTCCATGTTCTGAGAATAGAAGGGTGGACAATATAGACATAGTCTCTGCTTTTGTGGAGCTTATATTCTAATGGAGGGAGACAAACCATAACAAATAAATATAGAATATAATGTATTGTGAAGAAAAATAAAGCAGGGAAAGGGTACACAGATTGAAGGGGCTATTATTTTAGATAAGGTAGTCAGGACAGTCTCTCTGAATGACATTTGAGATGACAATTGAATGAAGTGTCATTCAAATATTTTGGGGAAAGTGTTTCAGGAAGGAGGAAGAAGTGCTCGAACCCCGAGAAGGGAGACTGTCTGGGGTGTATGAGGAACAATGAATAAGAGGCTAGCATGGCTGGGGTGGAGTTAGTGAGGGGAAAGTGGCAGAAGATGAGGTCAGAGAGGTGACAGGGTCCGGATAAGATGACAAGATGTTAGCATAAGCAGTATGAAAACAAGGGTGAGACTGTTTAGTATGTAATTGAAACATTAGGGGTCAGGCCATAAAATATATAAAGAAAGCATTCAAAAGGTGGTAATTTTTTATGTGCTTGCTCCCCTACCAGCCAACAATGCAGGTCTCAGCTCCCATCCTGGCCCCAGGCTTACTTACCGCTCCTTGATTTTAGAACCTGACTCTGCTCTGTGCTTTCCTACTTCACTCAGCAGCCTCCTGTCAACACCCTACAGCTGAGCGTGTGACTTTGGGTTTATACCCTAACTAAAGGGTTTATGGAAACAGCTTCCTGCTTACATCTAGTGTGCCTGTGAGCTGTGCTTGGAAGCAAGGACTCACTCTGCCAGAGGACCAGGAACAGACCTGTCCATGTCTCAATGATTATAATAGTGTCAAAGGTCCTTTGGAGTAGTCCCTTTCTAAAGGTCAGGCAACAGTGGCAGTGAGGCCAACTACTGTGTTTGGGCCTCAGTTTCCTTATCTGCAAAATGAATCACTCACAAAAATAACCTGTTTTCCAGTGTTTAGATAAAAATGAATCTTTAAAAGATAGGAGTTATGCTGATGAGAAATGGAAATATAATCTGACTCTTCAAGACGAAAAGATGTTCAAACTTAACGCATACTAAGAAATATACAAATTTAAACAAGTCCATGGTAACATTTTTTTCTTGGGTAGCAGATTGGCAAAAATCCAAAAGTTAGATAATACTCTTGATTGAGGAGGCCATGGGGAAATATGCACTCTCATGTACTGAGGATGGAAGTGCAAAATCACGCAAGTCCTATAGAGGGCAATTTGACAGTATCTATGGAAACTACAAAGGCATATGCATTTTGACCCAGTAATTCCACTCCTGGGAATTTTTGCTATAGATATATATGTAAAATGACACGTGCGAGGTTGTTTACTACAGCAGTGTTTATTTCAAAAGACTGAATCCACCAAATTATCCATCAATAGGGGACTGGTGAAATAAGTTATGATATATCCATACAATGGGATATCTTGCAACTGTAAAAAAGAGTGAGTATGCTCTCTTTTGTTGATATGGAAAGATCTCCAAAATATACTGTAAACGAGAAAAACAGAACAAAAACATGGTGCAGAACAATGTGCACAGTGTTAAAAGGGAGGGATAAGAATATATATTTATATTTACTATAAGAAAGAAGTACTGGAAGGATATTCAAGAAACTAATGGCAATGATTAACTATTTTTGAGTGGGGGTGAGGTGGAGCTATAGAAGATTGAGCAGATCAGAAAAAGAAGAGCAATATTTTTTCACTGAATATTATGTATGTGTGTGTACATATATATGTACGTATATATCTATTTTTTAAATTAAAAGAATTTGAACCATATGGATATGTTAACTAGTCAATAATTAAATTAATAAATAAGAAAAAATATGATAAAGCTGTCTATAGATTACATAGCCATGAAAGTATAGCTGAAATCATTTTTAGATCTGACAGCTTGCAACATGGGTTGCATTCTGCAGTGTATTTCTACAAGAGAATGCAGCTATGTGTCCCAGCTGGCTGTCCTCCGGGTTTATTCACTAACCTACAGCAAACATCTTAACTACTCTGGATGTTCATTGCTCTTTATGTATGATGGCATCATGTTGCAATTATTAATAAAGTAATCCAGGGTGGAGATAGGAAGTTGCTAAAGAGAAAATTGTGTAATTAAGGCAACTTGAACTTCAGCGTCAAAAGTAAATTGGTTACAGATGTGAAGGCAAGGGGATGCAGGGCTGGCGGGAAGCCAGTCCCAGAAGAACACAGTGGTAGCCCCATCCAGCATTTCCTTCAGAGTCAGAGAACATCTCCATTTGAGCAAGGCCAAGTTTAGAAGAGAGTCTTGTAAAGAAGGTGACAAAAATGAGTGGCATTGTGGACTAGAATGTAACACTGTTAGGCAGATTTGTAAACCAAAAAAACAAAAAACAGGAACAAAAAAACGCCAAACCCGTTGCCATCAAATTGGTTCCAACTCTTTGTAGGGCAGGTAATAACTGTGCCCCTAAGATTGCTTTGGAATAGGTTGATGTTACTAAGGAGGTGGGGTCCTGTACTATTCAACAATTTTAACCAACAATTCAGAAGAAAATATAGAAGGCTGACTTGTCAACTTTGATATAGCCAAAGCTGGAGGGAGAGCTACTGTAGGATGCCAGAATCAAGATGGAAAAATGATCTCAATAGGCCAACGGGTTGAATTCAAGAAGATGAAATGTAAAAGGAACAAATGCGAAGCTTGGTCTTTAGGCTCAAAGATGTAAATTGCACCAGAACAGGTCAATGGGGACTTGGCTTGGCAGCATCAAGTGTGAAAAGGGCTTAGGGGATTTAGTTGACTTTAAGCTCCACATGAGTCAACAGCCTGAAAGAAGCTGTCAAAAAAAGCTCATGCTTCTTTGAGCTGCATTAATGCAACCACAGTACCCCAAATCAGGAAGCCAATGGTCTCTCTCTCAAATTTGTCTGTTCACACCACAGAAGGATGCTAAATTGGCATAAGGTTGGCTTGCTATTCCCTTTCCTGTACTTTTTAGATCCTCTTTTACAAATGTTAACTCATTTAATCCCTACAACACAACTAAGAGTACCACTATTATTCCCAGTTGGCAGAAGACAGGTGATAGATGAGGCACAGAGAGGCGAAGTAATTTGCCCAAGGTAACACAGTTAGTAAATAATGGTGTGCACTCCCAGGACTAGTAGCATCATCATCATCTGGGGACTTGTTAGAAATGCAAATTCTTGGGCCCCATTCCAGATCTACTGAATCATAAGCTCTGGGGGTAGGACCCAAAAATCTGTGTTTTTAACAAACCTTCCAGGTGATCCTGATGTATCAAGTTTGACAACCACTTCTCTACCACTATTTTGCCTCGACGTGAATCCAGTGGCGTCACTAGCGTTGGTGTCACCCAGTGCTGTGAAACATCAGCAAATTTGACAAAAATCAGTGACTCGAATCATCATTGAAATTGGGTAATAATGACAGCTCTGACAGAAGCACATTAGAAGGTTCAAAAAGTAAATTAGCATAGAGTTTTAGCCTTGTAGGTATATTAATACATG